TAATATTATTATCATATGTTTGTTTACTTAAAACGTGGTATAACAGAAAATGTGACCAGAGACAGTGTTAGTATAAACATGTTTCACATATATTAAATAGCATGTAAATGTCTGATTATACAATATCAATTGACTACTATTGGTCAAGCGCCTTGGATTTGTGCAGAAAAATCGACACTTCTCCGAAGTGAAACAACTAGTCACGAGCGATTGCGAGTTGTGACAAGTCACGTCAAACGAGCTCTATACACGAGCGCTCGTCTTCACTCGGTCAGCTAGGCGAGTGACACCGATCGATGGCAAGGCAAGGCAAGGCAAATAGGCTGTCTATACGTTGGTATTGGCCTTTACCTGGCAACATTAGACCAACATGGTCTTTGTAATGCTGGCTTAATAAAATAAGAATTTTTAGTAGTTAGAGTTGCCAGTGGGAAAAAATCGGAAACGAGTGGATAATCGTGTTTTCAGGAACTGAGAATGCCTAGTAAATGAGTCCTGATTAATCTAAATTAAATATAAAATTATTTACCAATAAACCTAATGATGGAATTGCATTATCATGTAATCTAGTTACATTCAAAGTTATGTTAAAATTTGACTCTTCAAAATGAAGCGAATAAATAAAGATGGTCTTTGATTCAATGTTTATATTCGACACTACTATACCGCGGTATGATTTCCAACCATTCCTTTTTCTTTTTTTGATTTGTAGGTAAACTTGAAATAGTAAAAATAATAATAATAAAACAATAAAAACCTCGTAGTGAATTATTTTAATAACAGAATATCGATAATATGTACGCTTTCAAGAACAACACTGTCTCAAAATAATCGTTCAAATCATCAAAATATACAAACAAACAGGCAATCTGAAGAAACTAAAGCAAAATTTGGCAAGATTTACGAATAAACTACTTAAATATGCCTAATTACATGAGATATTCGGAATTTTGTGTTATTTATAGACGGAAAAATAACACGTGCCTGTACATTGTTACATACGGTCGATCATCGTTTTTTCAAATGCCACAGCCCGTAATGCTGCAGCGACGAATTATTATTAAGACTTAATTGTTCTCACTATCAATATTTTTGTCCATTTTGTTACAATACATGCGAATAATTCAATAAAACACTTGGAAAAACATTTGTTTTGACATTTGATGTACTTCCCTTTGACAACCGTATCATCTACCTCATGTACTGCGAAATGGACACGGTTGGCATTTAAGATGACGTTACGTATTTTCGATTCCCGTGTTTGACACAGACCAATGTAATGCTATCTCTTTTGGCTTAAGACGGCACGCAAGAGATAAGCAAAGACCATAACATTTTTTCTGTTTTCAACGTCGAAATGCTTCCTATACATATAACGTCTGATTTATATATGTCAACATAATATGTTCTTTATTTTCCATAGTCTAAGGTTTTTGTACATTTCTAATGCCAGTTTGTCAATTTCAAATGCCAGGGACACCTGCATAGACAACTACAAATTACACCCAAACTCTCGAGAGAAATAATGTAGGCAATACAAATATTTCTACCGGCCCGGGAATCGAACCCGAAAACTGCGTGGCAATCCAGCAACTGTTCAGCACTCTTTATATCAATAGACGATTTATCGTTCGTCTACGAATTTCTGTGCCATAAACCATTCACTTCAATGTATTTTTTCAGGAGAAGAAATAATATCACCATTGAAAGAACTACGAGAGCTTATATCTTCGAGACCAATACGATTCCACTCAGCGCACTTCTTTCGAATCGACTACACTCTTCTCAGTGCAACGACGTCAGTTGTAATTACTTACACTATTATATTCTTACAAAGCCTGAAGTTTTTTTAATTGAATACAAGTAAAGAAAAAGTGTTTATTAATCTGGACTAGTTCGATTATTACTTATAAATAGCTGTTGTTGTACCAATATACCTACATGGTATTTTCCAAAAACAATATAGAATTCCGTAGATAAAGCCACATGGCACCGTGAAAGCATTAACATATTGTTTTAGCATCATAAATAAAACAGGATTAAAGTTATTTGCTTGATATGAATGAATTAAGATTGTATTAGTTGTGTAACGAATCACAGCAGTCATTGACTTACAATTATATGGACGTCGGGTCCGCGCTAAAAAGTGTCCGCACTTGTAAGGCGCTAAAATCGTATACAGAGCGCGACACTCCGCTTTAGTCTTCATTTGTTCTACTGACAGCGCGATACTGCGATGACATTACAATTTAAATTTCGAATAGGTTGACTTGGGACATTTTTTTCGTGGTTTTTGTATTAGACCCGTCGTCCATTTATTTGTAAGTCAATGACAGCCGTGGGTAGAAATCGTTTTGTTTCTATTAGTAGTATCAACCCTTTTTTATGTTTTGAGTTCTTAGGTTTTTACTATTATTACAGACTTGAAATGGAACATTTTTTTGGACGAATCTTAATCAGGTATAACGTTTAGGCCCTTTATAGGTCCTATGATTTATATCTGATGAAAAAATGTTTTCATTTCCTAAATGTTTTCGCGCTAAAAAGTGTCCGCACCTATAGGGCGTTAAAATCGCATACAGAGCGTCATTCGCGCAACAGTCTTTGTTTGTTCGACTGACAGTGCGGTTGTCAATCATGCAGTACCATATAATAATAACTTGTAAAAATTACTGCAGTAAAGTGTAAGAACTGGATTCTGTATCATATTTTCACTAAACAAATATATTGTGTTATCATAGTAATCTTTCAAAAGTGCTATTTTGTACAGTTGTATAGTATTTAATTTATATATAAATAAATCGTAAATATAAATTACAAAAGCAAACAAAATAATCAAATAGCTAACTGTCCTTTTTTTACACATTGCATGCGCAAAAGATGGAAAGAGACCCATTATGTCAATTTCAAGAAGCTTACATAAACTTCTTAGTCATTTTGAATTATTCGAACCATAAGCGATTGAAATATTTGGAACGAAGAAACTATAGAGTCGTCTTGATTTTAATCTTATTTTTTAGAATGACTTTTTATTAAACGTTAGCAATAACTAACAAAATATTGTTGTACTCGTTTTACGACTAGGGATATCAGAAGTCACAAAATACATTTGCCCGAAATAACGTTAAAAAGCTAATTTTGGCTTTGTGAGAAGCATCAAAATTATTTGAAAACGTAACTGTTTTATTATAAATCGGTTTTTGGAATTACGGATATTTGAGTTTACGTTTTGTTGGAATATCGGCATTAATATATTTCTTATAGTACACGCTTATTTTCACATTTGTAATATTTGTACGCATGTATCTGCCCAACTCTTTATTATTTCTTGAAGTGAATTTGTATAAAATTTGACATAATAATATACATAAAAATTAATTGATATTTACAATATTTTTTTATATTTCGCTACATGTTACTACGTTTGTATAGGTTAACTTCGGACATTTTTTTCGTGGTTTTTGTACAGGGCTATGTTGAGTGTGTGCGTGATTATTATTATTTATGTACACACGTAAGACACATAATAAACACTAGTTCTAATAATTCCTAAATTGAATGTACAATTTTTAATTAGTATTAGTATTATAGTTCCGTCCATTATTGTTTAAAAGCAAATAAATGTTCATTAAATATTTATGCGACTATTTTTTAACTGCGGTTGTTTTCATTGCACGCTTTGAACTAATATATTGGTTTATTCGGATCTTTAGGTACAGTTATTCTCATTTTTATTTATTAAAGTTAGCCGTGATCGACAGACAATCGGTCCGTTACAAGAAAAAACCCAAATGTATGAAATCGAACCCATCGGAATGACAGTATTCAATGTAAAGTATGTATATAATAATACTCAATATGTCTCAATAAAAATATACAACTACACATTTTGTGTATGCAGTGGCTTCGGCAATACTTTTAAAAACATTCCGGAATTTTGTTACTGTAGTATATCCGACGACATACATCTAATGACATTGTAAATTATTGACATAGGAAATTGCTTGTTAAATCATATTTAGATTATGTTTTTGTTCCAACAAAAATCAAACGAAAAATCTTTCGAAAACCCGAAAAGCTTTTAATTAGTGTAAAAAACTGCATATTATATGAAGTAGATTTTACCACGTAATGTGATTGACACTTGTTTTTCCAATATCAAATTGATATGTAAATTGGAAACAAAATAACTTCCAGTGATGATGACCTAAAAGATTGTCGAATACAAGAGTTTATTACACGAATGAATTTGTAGAACCTCTTTTAAAATCGATATAATTAATTATTCAGGAAACTCCGCATAGAACTCAATAATTTCAAATTTATTACACTTATTGAAACGACAGTGGGTGAGCAGGCGTAGCAAGTAAAAGAAAATATTAATTGGAATATTACACCATGTCGTTTGAGACAACATACGGCACATACAGCAAGGGATTGGTCTAGATAACAAATAAGAAGATAATTCCAATACAAATATTATATACCAAACCAAAATGGATACTTATTTAACTTTAAGACCAATTAATTTTCTTCTAAAATGTTTCGCTCTTAATTGTGTTTATAAAAAAGACAACAACATTAAATCATCATGGTCGCTGACAAAAAATCTAATAATATTATTTATTATGTGTTCCATCAATGCCCTCGTTTTGTATAACAACATACAAGAAATGTTTTTAAAATCTTATGAATTCACATGCACAGATGCTTACGTATTTGTATTTTTTTTTAGTTTTTTTAAATATATAGTGGACTTAGTTTGTGTTCGTAAATATGGGACAAAACAGTTCGTAAGCTATTACTATGCTTACCAGAACATTGATGGGTTACTTAAAATGAATAATTACAATAATATCAAAATTACATGTGTCAAAATTATGGCATCTTCTTGTGCATTTATTATTTTTAGTATTATTTTGGACTTTATTGCGTGGTATTCTGTGGCTAACCACATTTGCATGTTGTGCGTAGTAGTATATTTCTACAAATTTCAAAGAATGCTCATAATTTTGGATATGGTATCTCATGTTGTGCAAATAGAATACCGATTACGCAGATTAGGAGATATAGTCGAGAAATTCGATAGAAACAGTAAAGATGTATCAAACTTGGTCACGGTAAGTTGGCGTGCCAGTTTTGAAGCAACAAGATTAGACAAATTGAAAATTTTTAATGCAAGGGCTGAAAATGGTGTAAAGACACCTGATGAAATTATTTTGTTATGTCAATGTTATTTGATGTTGATTAAGCAAACTGAGTTTATAAACACTATGTTTGGATTCAGAGTAAGTATTTAGTGTTTTTAAGATTTGTTGTTGAGGCAGCATACGGCCGATACATTTCGTCGATTCACATGGATTGTACCATGTGGATCGATGAAATGTATCAACCGGATTGTTATTATTAGCCGCTCACGCGATGCGCTCCTCCTGCCGCAAAATGGCGGCTATTTGGTTTCGCAAATTAGAAAAGCATTCAGTTAAAATATAAGTTTTTATAAATAAAAATTATTATTCTGCATTGCTTAATAAATACCCTCCGTACTATCAACAAAAACATCTCAAATAAAATGCAGTAATACACCGCAAATCCTGCACTTAAAAAGCACTAATGAAATTTTTGGTGTACTTTGATAAATATGATAATATTCCGATTGAGTGGTTCTAACGTTTACCATGAAATTACTCCTTAAAGTATAGTTTATAAACATTTATATTCAGGGTAAACTTAAAAAACGCTACTTACGGTATGTTTTGAATAAATATACACCGAAATCACCAGCCCAAACCACACACGATTACACACACGATTATCGTGACGTATTTTTGAAGTTGTTTATTTTTTTTAAATGACAGACCCAGGCATTAAAAACTATATGGTTTGCTAAAGTAGTTACCGAAATACCAATTAATATTAGTTCTTTTACCTGTTATAACTTCGATATCCGATAAATCGGTATAAAATCATCACCGGCACCTCTAGGTGTGGTATGTGTCTACGGCTGCATGTATCGCGTGAGCGGTTATAATTGTAATTAGTGACTTATTAGAATAATTTGATTAGACTTAACACATATCACGATTCGTTAGTCGTCGTGGCGTGATAAGAAATCTTTGTGCGTTAAAACCACTTGCAACCAGTATGCCATTACCATAAGTTTACAGTATAGTAGTTGCTGGTGAACTCGTTACATATTTGTGTGGCAAAATGTACACAACGCTTTTGTTGTTCACAGGAACAATTACATTTTGCCATACAAATTTCACGCTGTCGCTAGTAATTCAATAGATTCTATACAGTCGCTTGTAAATGGCATGTGTGAGATGCCAATTTTTTATACGGCATCAATGGATACAGGTTTATCGCACTGCTATTACAATAGTGTTGTAACTCAAAATACGTGAATTTCAAGATTATACAATTGTTTAACGTAAAATTTGATTCCCTACACGTATAAAAGAATGTCGTTTAAATATTGCAAGAAACAATTAAAATAATTAAAATCTGCTTAACTCAAGAAGAGACAAACTTTATGTGGTCAAAACAGTCCTTATTAAAAATATCAAAAGTGAGTAATCCGTTTTCATCGATTCTGAAAAAAAAAAATTGAGTTATGACAGTTTTTGAGTTACACTATTGCATTAACATTGCGATATATCAATTTGCTCATGGCGAAACTTGACGTGGAGACGTAATTACAAATACTGTGAACATAGCGATGGTTTTCTAGAATATCGAATTGTCTCAAAAGCAGCTAATTCATCAGGAAGATGGTTTAAAAAACTGAACCGTATCCACAGCGCAAAATTGACGAATAGTAGACCATCTCAATGGTGTCACGCGATTATTCTAACCAACGCAAAGCTCGGAATCCCAATCATGCTAAAATTTAGCATTTTCTGAATAAATCTCAGTGAATATGTCAAAAAAGGATCAATTTTGGATTAGGCCACTATTCTTGAAAAGCAGAATAGTGGTACAGTGGTCCAATCTTATCAAATATGATAAATAGGTATGCGATTGCATAGCATTAAAAAAAATAAAGACAATATTCTGCTTAGTGTCTAATATTTACGCAGATAGCGACAATAAGTTCTGACTGTATACGGCGCTAAGGCAAAAAAGTCGTTAAAAACCAAAATAAAGGATCGGCAACAAACACACATGAAAAATTCATAAGGTCTGCTGGTTCTTTCCGTAGCTCTGTTGGGAAAGCGTCAAGCACAGTACTGTAAGCTGAGACGTAGCTTAGGATGCGTAGCGAGAGGTACTTTTGTAAATATAAACTGGAATAATACTGTTTAATGTTGCTTTGGGTACATATATCATATTATTTATTATTATAATATATATACTCGTATATGTAAGTTTATTATGTATGTATAATAAGTATGATTATTGTATGTTATTTATTTATACCATACAAATTATCGATTAGTTTTCTAGTATTTCTATTTCTTCTTGTTTAAGTGTAGCACCAACCTATTGTGTTTTTTTTTTTCTGTTTGGCCCAATGGTTGACTGGTAGAGAATGCCTTATGGCATTAAGTCCGCCATTTGTACTTCAGTGTATTGTACAATAAAGTTTAAATAAATAAATAAATAAATAAATAAATAATCTTCAAAACTTGGTTTATTGTACGTTTCTACATATTTTCTAATTCAGGTTACATTACGAACTCTCAAGATGTTCTATTCTTTCTTATTTCATTTTTCAAACACATTCTAAATACAAAACTATATTCACTCAGCCAGACCGAAGAAATTTTTCTTAGTGTTCGATCTTTGTATTAAATTAAATTATAACAAACAAGGCGAATAATTTCACAAAAAGTTGTAAAACATTGTGATATTGCATGCATACTCAAACAAAATTTATAAAATAGCCAATATTTTTTTGAAATTGTTCATGACTGTATATACCGTTGTTTATTTTTATAAGTTGTTGTGTTGTATTAGTTTAAATAATTTTGAAATAAATAAAAATTATCTTTTTCAGATACTCCTTACATGTATAATTTACATAATCGATTTGGTATGTCTTTTGAATATTGTCATTAGGATGCTGTTTGGAACACTGGTAAGATACACAAATTATTAAATTTGAAAAATACAATTCACAATTTGCTATAAAAACAACTTGAAATCGGTAAGTATACAGGGTGTTGATTTGTATTGTCGTCATATTTAAGAAATTGATAATAGAAATAATGCTAAATCATCTAAAAATAATAAAAAAATATTCTGTTCAATATTCAGGCTAATTGTATCTAGTAAAGTTTTGTAAAATTGTCCCCCAAGTATGTTCACCGCAAAGGACAGTGACCCCGCCACTCGCTTCACCGAGCGATACGTAATCTTTCTCGATCGCTTATTTACCTATTTTTTAAGTCATGTTTATGTACTAGTATTGTTATAAATTACTAATTATTTACGTTAGTTAGAAAAGGTGACTGAAAATAGATTTTTTGTAACTTAGGGTCGTATTCCAGAACTCTACACAATACTCAAGTCAGGACTAGAGTATTGCAGAGAGCACAGAAAATCATACTCAATGCCTTGACATTAGGGTCGTATTTCCAGTGCTTGAAATCATACTCAAGTCTGCTCAAGTCCTGACTTGAGCACTGAGTAGAGTTCTGGAATACGACCTTTAGATACTTACCAACTTTAGGTTACACGAAAGTAGTGCTAGAAGTACCTAGCTCCACAGCTGATGGCGTACCGGAGCCAGCCACAGACATATAATAATAAAAAAAGGATTTTTGAATTTTTTTTTTTTGAAGTGATTTGGGTTCGGATATAGAATGACATCTGCAAATATGGCGATAATGCAAATCAACACATCGTATACAATTACAATTTCTTTTCATTTATGAATAATGTGACTTGTATTTAACCTACCGCGTTTGAACCGAATGAGCTATGTAACGTCCACTGTAACACTTAATAACAAAAGTCATCCCTAAAATTTTCTATACCCCTGCACTTGAGCATGACAGAGCCGAACGACCACTTTAATTTTTTTTTATTATTGAATAAATTTTCAGACAGGCTTCAATATAATGCTGATTCTGTCAACCACACTTATCTTCCTGGTTATCTGCTCCAATATCCATATTTTGGCTAATCGATGCGAGAAGGTTTATAGACAGAACGATCGTATCATTGAAATCATCGATGATTTGATTATATATGGAAAAGTCAGTAAGTAGCCAGTAACTATTTTTCTGTGTATCATACAGGCAAATATATCCTCCAAAGTCACGCAAATGCATAATATAACCGCTCACGCGATGCGCTCCTCCTACCGCAAAATGGCGGCTATTTGGTTTCGCAAATTAGAAAAGCATTCAGTTTAAATACAAGTTTTTATAGATAAAAATTATTATTCTGCATTGCTAAATAAATACCCTCCCTACTACCAACAAAAACATCTCAAATAAAATGCA